TTTTAAAAACAGTGCTCAGTAAAAAAAAAAAAAAAAAAATAGAGTTTGAATAATAATTATTTTTTTAAAATTTGATTCCTTCGCTACATAAGAGTTCTCATGTTTCAGAAACAGGAGCTAAAAATTTCAATTTAATAATAAAAAATTAAATTGAATCAAAGTATCAAGCTCTGTTTCATCCTGAAGCAAAATTTTTGGAATCAATAAAATTTGTCTGAAAAATTTTAGCTCCTGTTTTTAAAACATGAGAACTCTTATGTAGCGAAGGAATCATATTTTAAAAAAATAATTATATATATATATATATGTGTGTGTGTGTTTTACCAGAAAATATATATATATATATATATATATATATATATATATATATATATATATATATATATATATATATAATTTTTGATAAAATACAATGCACAGTAGTAGTACTGAAAATATATACACAGTAGGTGTAGTAGAGTTTGTAAATCTCGACAAAAATATAAACAAAAACTTCAACAATACAAAATGTGTGTGTTTAAAAGCATTAATTCGAGAATTGTTAAACCGGATGTTCTCTGAAGTTGAATGCTTATAGCATGCCAGGCTTAATAGTTGAATGCTTAATAGTGCTTCGTCATAAGATGGAGTCTCGATTCCTGCCGGAGAACTCATGTTTTCTACGAAATTTCTGGAACAATCATATCGGCAAATGGAATTAACATTGCTTATTTAAAGAACAGCATTTACTTAAATAAGTGTAACCATCAGAAATAACGTATAAACAGAACAGATACCGTGTGTATTTTAACATATATATATATATATATGTTAAGAAATGGACAATTTATTTATTAAAGACATTTTTATTTATGTTTAACGTTGTTATTTTATAGATACAAGTATTTAAGCAAATGCTCTGTTTAAGATAAACAGTATTAAATAACATTTACCGGCCTGAATGTCCGAGAAATTTTCATAGAAAATATTCGTTCATAGACAGGATTCGAACCTGCATCCTATACGGAACTGTCATATACGCTGACATGCCTTAACCACTCGGCCACCATGAACCTTATGGTAGACAAGGTCGAATTTACTGTTATAAACTACAATCTTCCATGAATCTCGTACATTCATAACTGCTCTGGCGTATCGAATGTAAACAAATGACGAATAGAGCTATAGTGAGGGGTAACAGACGAGAGAAGGTGGGAGATTAAAACTTAACAGAGGGGGGGTTTATAGAGGTGAGTGGAAGGGGGAAATATGAATGTTGTCGGATGTCTAATACATTAAAGATACATTTCGTGGTGACATACACACACCATAGACGATCTAATGTTAAAGACCAGAATAAGAGGGAGGGAGAGAAAAGGAAAGAGAGATGGGGCGGGGACACTAAAATTAAAAGAACATTTACTGAAAGGGCCGCTGTGTAATTGAGAAAATTTGACAAAATTAATATCGACTACAGGTATGTATGTATATGCACCTATGTATATATATTTATATATTTTGCATATATATGTGTATATTTACCACTAATATTTTCTATCTATCTATCTATCTATCTATCTATCTATATATATATATATATATATATATATATATATATATATATGGTGTATCAAAAATAATTTTAAAATCTTTGGGACGGGTTCCTCACACTATACAAGGACGTTTATTTAAGAAGATTCTCTGTTTTAATTAAACACTATAAATGAGGAACCACCATTAAGCCTGGCGTGCTGTAACCTTTCAGCTACAGAGAACTTTCGGGTGTATTGCCATTGTTTACGTTAGGATACGAAATCGGAGCAGATAGGTTAGATTGGGAAAGATCGGCGAATGTGTGTTTAAAAGCAGTAACTCAAGCTTTGCTTAACCGGAAGTTCTCTGTAGCTGAACAATTATAGCAGGCCAGTTAGACAGATAGATATCGATAAACTGAGATAGATATAAAAATAGGTAGATACAAACAGACTGAGATAGATAGATAGATAGATAGATAGATAGATAGATAGATAGATAGATAGATAGATACGAAGAGACTGATATCGATGGACTGAGATAGATTTGTAAATAGGTATGAACAGACTGAAATAGATATATAAATAGATATGAACAGACTGAGATAGATAGAAGATAGATAGATAGGTAGATAGATAGATAGATAGATAGGTATGAACAGACTGAGATAGAAGATAGATAGATAGATAGAAGATAGATATGAACAGACTGAGATGACAGATAGATAGATAGATAGAGATAGATAGATAGATAGATAGATAGATAGATAGATAGATAGATAGATAGGTATGAACAGACTGAGATAGATAGATAGATAGATAGATAGATAGATAGATAGATAGATAGATAGATAGGTATGAACAGACTGAGATAGATAGATAGATAGATAGATAGATAGATAGATAGAAACGAAGAGACTGATATCGATGGATAAGATAGATAGATGAGATAGATATATAAATAGATATGAACAGACTGAGATAGAGAAGATAGATAGATAGAGATAGATAGATAGATAGATAGATAGATAGAGACGAAGATGATATCGATGGATAGATAGATAGATAGGAAGACTGAAATAGATATATAAATAGATATGAACAGACTGAGATAGATAGAAGATAGATAGATAGATAGATAGATAGATAGATAGATAGATAGATAGATAGATAGATACGAAGAGACTGATATCGATGGACTGAGATAGATTTATAAATAGGTATGAACAGACTGAGATAGATATATAAATAGATATGAACAGACTGAGATAGATATATAAATTGATATGAATAGACTGAGATAGGTAGAAGATAGATAGATAGATAGATTAGGAACAGACTGAGATAGATAGATAGATAGATAGATAGATAGATAGATAGATAGATAGATAGATATGAACAGACTGAGATAGATAGATAGATAGATAGATAGATAGATAGATAGATAGAATGAACAGACTGAGATAGATAGATATATGATAGATAGATAGATGATAGATAGATAGATAGATAGATAGATAGATAGATAGATACGAAGAGACTGATATCGATGGACTGAGATAGATTTGTAAATAGGTATGAACAGACTGAAATAGATATATAAATAGATATGAACAGACTGAGATAGATAGAAGATAGATAGATAGGTAGATAGATAGATAGATAGATAGATAGATAGATAGATAGATAGGTATGAACAGACTGAGATAGATAGATAGATAGATAGATAGATAGATAGATAGATAGATAGATAGATAGATACGAAGAGACTGATATCGATGGACTGAGATAGATTTATAAATAGGTATGAACAGACTGAGATAGATAGATAGATAGATAGATAGATAGATAGATAGATAGATAGATAGATAGATAGATAGATATGAACAGACTGAGATAGACAGATAGATAGATAGATAGGTATGAACAGACTGAGATAGATAGATAGATAGATAGATAGATAGATAGATAGAAACGAAGAGACTGATATCGATGGACTAAGATAGATTTATAAATAGTTATGAACAGACTGAGATAGATATATAAATAGATATGAACAGACTGAGATAGATAGAAGATAGATAGATACGAAGAGACTGATATCGATGGACTGAGATAGATTTATAAATAGGTATGAACAGATGAAATAGATATATAAATAGATATAGATGAGATAGACAGAAGATAGATAGATAGATAGATAGGTATGAACAGACTGAGATAGATAGATAGATAGATAGATAGATAGATAGATAGATACGAAGAGACTGATATCGATGGACTGAGATAGATTTATAAATAGGTATGAACAGACTGAGATAGATATATAAATAGATATGAACAGACTGAGATAGGTAGAAGATAGATAGATAGATAGATAGATAGATTAGGAACAGACTGAGATAGATAGATAGATAGATAGATAGATAGATAGATAGATAGATATGAACAGACTGAGATAGATAGATAGATAGATAGATAGATAGATATGAACAGACTGAGATAGATAGATAGATAGATAGATAGATAGATAGATAGATAGATAGATAGATACGAAGAGACTGATATCGATGGACTGAGATAGATTTATAAATAGTTATGAACAGACTGATATAGATATATAAATAGATATGGACAGACTGAGATAGATAGATAGATAGATAGATAGATAGATAGATAGAATAGATGGAGATAGATAGAAGATAGATAGATAGATAGATAGATAGATAGATAGATAGATAGATAGATAGATAGATAGATAGATATGAACAGACTGAGATAGATAGGAGATAGATAGATAGATAGGTATATGAACAGATATGAACATATATATATATATATATATATATATATATATATATATATATATATATATATATAGATAGATAGATAGATAGATGTGATTAGACTGAGATCAATATATATAGATATGAACAGAATGTGATAGAAATTTTCTTTTTATTGTTGTGTTGACGGATTGAACCATTTTCTTTTGATTTCTTGATACAGTTGTGTACGTTTGCTTGGGAGAATAGGAATTCTGTTAGTAAAGGTGATATTGGGAAATTAAGATTAATATTTGGATAATATTCAATGGCGGCTCTATAATAATAACACAACAATAAAAAACAATATGAAAGTAATTGACGTACTTTTTAGTTGACAATATGAATACAATAGCGTTTTCTAAATTCTTCCAGTTGCTAAGGACATTTTGTTTTGTTGTTAATAATTACTTTGTTTTTAATAAATCCATTTCGTTTTATCCTTGAAAAATTACAAATTGGTCGAAACGCGTCGACTAATAATACAGTTTTCCTATTTTCTTTTATCTTTATACATATTGCCGTTTCTAACAAGTTAACTGGGAAATTTTTCATATATGTCTATGTATATTCTGTAACTTAGCGTTGCACAGGTATACAAAATAGAAAGCAGTAAGTGTGCGTGGATGTCTGTGTAGAAATGCATAGATAGGTACTTTTTTTTATATATCAGCGCCGGTACAAATACAGTTTATGCCTATTGGTCTATAGAATTATAAAGGTGTGACGTGTCGAAACCATCCCAGGTGTCATCGAATTTCATCTTCACCACACAGAATTTATTTACCTTTCTTAGGTATGTTTATAAGTAAAGGAAATGGACACCTGAGTCAACGTTCTTTTTTGGAGACACCTTGTTAAGACGATTTCGGTCTAAAAGGACCCCCCCACACACACACACACATGTTGTCAATTTTGATGCTATCAATAGACTAGTATTAATATGTGATGCTTCTGGACACAAAGTGATGGATCTGTTTTACATTGTTATTAAGTACTACTTCGATCCCCCTGAATTACTACATCTTAATATAATAATTGGACAAATATAATTAAAGACCCACATGTGAAAACATTCTAATAATGGAACAGACTTCATAAAATAGGCTGTCAAATTTGATGCTTATCAATACATTAGTATTAATATAACGTTCTACTGGACCTAAAGTGGGGTATCTGTTTTCGATTGTTTTTAAGTACTAAACTGATCACCCTGAATTACTATATATGAATATGATACTTGAATAAATATGATTAAAGACACCTGTGGGAAAACATTTTAATAATAGATAGGATTTCAAAAAATATGCTGTCAGTTTTGATGTTATCAGTAAACGAATGAGATTCTGCTGGACAAAAAATGAGGGATCTGTTTTCTATTGTAAGTAAGTACTAAACTGATCCCCCTGAACTACTACATATTAATATATTAACTGGGCAAATATAATTAAAGAGTAACAATTGAAAACATTCTAATAATAAAAAGGACTTCATAATAGAGGCTATCAATTTCGATGTTATCAGTAGACTAGAATTAATATGATTCTAATGGACATGAAGTGGGGGATCTGTTTTCTATTGTAAGTAAGTACTAAACTGATCCCCCGGAACTACTACATATTAATATAAGAAGTGGACAAATATATTTAAAGAGTCACATGTGAAAACATTCTAATAATAGAAAGGACTTAAGATAGGCTGTCAATTTCGATGTTATCAGTAGACTAGTATTAATATAAGATTCTACTGGACGTAAAGTGGGGGATTATTTTTCTATTGGTATGACGATTGGTTCCTCCAGAATTTTTACACACTAGTATAACTGAAAAACATTTATATTTAAAGAACCTAAAATGATTTTAAAAAGCAATATTTTTTTTCTTCTGACAAATGTCGTGGAATGTGTTAAGTTTAATGAATGTTCATCTATAAAAATTATTCTCAAATAAATTTGTGCTTATTTTTTTTTACAAGCGGACCAAGTTAATTTATGTAGTGCTCGAAACTTACTTACCAGTGATTCAGATTAAATAATCATATATTTGTGTTGAATTTTTGGATAAATAAATAAAAAAAAAACTAAACTGCTATTTTTCCAAATCTCAAATCATTTTTTACATGTTCTTTATAATAAAGAAAAGTATTCCCTTTCTTGATGGCTGCTTTAATTTATTTTTTCCGTTGAGGGTCGTGTGGACACAGCTGCTTACCTTCGATGGAGGCAGATTTTTAATGAATGATACAAAAGAATTAGAAAAAAAAAAGCATATCTCGCGTCTCAATGTCTCTTGTTTCGCTGCTATTATTTTTGAAAAGGAAAAGAAAAGTATGAAAGAAATGCTTAAAAAAATAAATAAATAGAAATGTCGAAAGCCATAAAGAAAACGAAATGATAAAAAAGGGCCCTAATGCTGCCAACGAGCAAGAATACGAGAAAGTTAATAATGAAAAACGAAATCGCAAGGTGGCATTTGCATTTCGAAAGGAAAAGTTTATTTTTTTTTAAGAAAAGATGCAACTCTTTGGATATAAGGCGTACGTAATTATTAAAAATTCAGTAGCGCGTATTTCTAGCAATATAAGAGGATATATGGGCACACAAACAAAGCTCACGTATGTAGAGATCTATATCTATCTATTTGTCGGATATATGAGGTTTGCCTGGAAAGCTCACAGGCTGGCCAAGACATAAATACTTATTTGAGAATGTAAATCATCATTTTTTTTTCAAAAAGTTACTCATATCCCGAAAATCTGATCGGAACCGTAAAATAAAAAATGCAATAAAATTATGATATTATTTCATTAGAGAAGCTTTTAATTGTCATTATAAATAAGATTTCTTAAAAACACTATTGTCTTAAGAAAAAAAAAATATTGATAAATAATTAATTTTTACAGGAAACGTTTTGATTTTTAAAAAATTTTAATTAGAATAATTTATAAAGTTTTAATCTTTTAAAATTCTGCACTGCTTTAATTACGTGTGGAGATATTGTTATTAGATGAAACCTATATTTGCTAATCAAAAACTGAAAAGCTTAATATAAATCATCACGCACCAAGATTTTTAAAATAATTTTTTTCTTTGTGTATAAACGTTACGATTTTTGTAAGTACGGTCGACCATACACAACATTATAAGAAATTAAGAGCGATGACTATAGTAAATTTAAAGTAAACATTCCTAGAATTAGATTATGGAGAATATTTTCAAATCTATCCAGATATATTCTGATCTATCTATCTATCTATCTATCTATCTATCTATCTATCTATCTATCTATCTATCACAGCCTGTTCAAAATAGGTATTTGTCTGTTTGCGTGTGTGTCTGGTATATTTCTACTTCATTCCGAGCATGATCACTTTCTTAGATATTAGATAGTTCCTCTAACTCGAAGATAGTGATAGTTATTTGTACAACATGAATACCGCTCTCCAATATCAAGAATGTTCACTCCCCGGCGGGGGGACTTCCTTATTACTAATGCAATACGAAGAGAATAGAGAGGTGGGGGGTTGTCCAGTACAGGTGACATGGCGTGTCTTAGATGTCAAAGTTAGACCCGGTGGAATGTAGCTCGTCTGAACATTAGCCATGGAAATATCAACAGTGTAGTGAGAGGCTTGTGACGTTTCGCCTGGGAGAAAGGGTTAGTAGGAAGGAAAACAGTTCATCATCCACAAGGCCGCGTAGTAGCCTTTTTTTGATCGATCTAGACTGGAAAGAGAGGACTGGGCAGAGTTCCAGTTCAGATATGGTAACAGTACCCCATTTATCTACCCGATCTCGCTGATAAAGCATAGCCGAAGGAGCCAGGTATTTACTGGAGATGTACAATCAACGGACTATTTCTCAACGTCTTCAGCGAACAATTGTACATATATGAATTCCACTTGAGGTCTGGAGAGAACTGTATTTCCAATATGTGTTCAAGGCAAGTTATCCTATATATATATATATATATATATATATATATATATATATATATATATATATATATATATATATATATATATATATATATTATATATCCCGTTCGACTCTCCCGTCGAATTCGACGGTTGAGGGTCAAGCAGATCAGTTCCCAGGAAACCGACAGCTCAACAACAGCACGTGAGATTTGATTATAGTGGTGAAGGTTTCGTGCAGGACCATCCACACATTTTGAAGGGCCGAATACAGAGACCTGGTGCACTACGTTCCACAAGGTCCCCAAACGACCCTCCACAGGTTTTTGAATTCAGAGTTGTCCTTCTCCTAGACCAGTTGCCATCCAAGGCTATAGAACCCAGTCTGTCCTGCTATTTACCCATGGCTGGAGGGAAAAGAAAGTTATTCAAACCTTTCTATTTTTTTTTTTTTTTTTTTTTTAGTAAAATACACCTTTAAGTGCTGAATCTAGATGCGTCGTCAGTGTTGTTGCTCCCATGTCACTAGAAGTTCCGGGTCTAAATAAACAACAGACTTCTTCGATGGGCGACCCGACCAAAGATGATCAGTATTCGGCTCGAACCTAGAACAAAATTTGCCACTATCTTTAGGACGTGGATTATATAAGTTGCCCCAGTAAACAACAACCAATCAAGACTTCACTTGGGATATTCGAAGTTATAGATTAGGTATGCATGGTTGTAGTGATCTTCCTGCATTCGGCCATATATATATAGACTTAAACAGAACGGACGTCATACCTAAGGTACCTTTCGGTCAACACTTTTTCAAAGGTATTCGTAGGCAATATGAATGAATATAAAAACACACTTAATAAAATAAATGAGGAGGGAAAGGTGGAACGCGGCTAAAAGATAAATTTTAATTATACAAAATTAAAATTGAACAAGGTGGGGATGAAAAATAAATAGTTCCACAAGAGTTTAAAATAGAAAAAAAGGAACTCACAAACCCTTCAAAAGACGTAAGGAACGCAAAAAAAATGTTCCTTTTGTCTACAGTCTTTTGGAGGGTTTGTGAAACAACACTACATAAATGCACTCA